TCAGCATTAGGTAATGGCTAATTACTAAATAAGGATAAATAGCTAGGATTGGTAGTATTATAATGTGGTTTCTTGTTTCTGGGATAGATTTTTGCGTTTTAGGTTGTAAGGCTGAAATTCCTGTCCAATGGGAATTCAAAGCCAGTGGTGGGTGGGTATCTCTGTGTTAGGGCTTTGTTAACCTTTGTCCTGGTCTTTGTGCCTTGCCTCGGTTCGCTCGGACTGCCGGAGGAAGCAGATGCCCGCTTCTCGCGAGAATGTAATAAATCTTTCACTTTATACCTAGAAAATCTCTGAGTGTTATTTTTGGGCAGCTGTAGCACACACAAAGAATTGGGAATGGCGAAACAAGTTGTGGTACATGATTCTGACGGAATACTACTGTGTTATAGGAAATGATGAGCAGGATGCTTTCAGAAAAGCCTAGGAAGACTTACATGAACTGATACAAAGTGAAATGAGCAGAACTAGGAGAACACTGTACACAGTTACAGAAATATTGCATGATGATTAACTGTTAATGACAACAATACAAAGATCCAAAATTATTTCGACAGGCTTATGATGAAAAATGCTATCCACCTCTAAGAAACAGAACTGATGGAGTCTGAATGCAGATCAACACATACTATTTTTACTCTTTTTTGTTTTGTTTTGTTTTTCAGAACACTTTTCACACAAATAAAGACAGATCTAAATAATGGGAGTAATAAATTGCTCATGTGTAGACAAAGCCAAAAAAAAGCAATATAATCTAAATTAATTTACTTATTCAGAGCTATGCCTATCAAATTACCAAAGAACTAATTTATAGAGCCAGAAAAAAAATAACAAAATCCATATGGCAGAACTAAAGGTCAAAAATATCAAGGGAATCAGTGGGAAAAAAATAGAAGGACTTAACAGAAGCAGTAACAGATCTCAAACTACATTACAAAGTGGTAATTATGAAAACAATTTGGTACTAAGTAAGAAATAGAGAGATTGATCAATGATTAGGTACACAATACATAGAAACAGATAAGTACAATAAATTAGTGTTTGATAAACCCAAAGATCCTAACTACTGGAGCAAGAATTCACTATTTGACAAAAACTACTTGGCAAACTGGAAAGTAATTTGGCAGAAACTAGGCACAGATCAACATCTCACAGAGTATAAACTCAAACAGGTCAACAATTTAGATATAAAAGGTGATCTCATAAGCAAATTAGTGGACCATGGAAGAAACTACCTGTCTGATCTACAGATAGAGAAAAAGTTCATGATGAAACAAGACACAGAGAGATTCACAGGCAGTAAAATGGATAATTTTGATTACATAAAATCTAAAAAATTTTTGTACACATAAAACCAATGTGGCTAAAACTATAAAATAAGAAAAGCAGGAAACTAGGCCAAGTGTCTCTAATAAAGGTCTCATTTCTAAAACATATCTGAAACTGAATGAAATTTACAACTAGAGCCATTTCCCAATTGATAAATGGTCAAGGGATACGAAAAGGCAGTTTTTAGAAAAAAAAATCCAACTTATTAGTAGTCACAGGAAAAATTATTTAAATCATTAATAATTAGAGAAATGCAAATTAAAACAACTCTGAGGAAGCAGTTCATACCCATCAGACTAGCTAAGATAATAAAAAAGGAAAATGACAAATGCTGGAGGAGATATAGGAAAATAAGTACACTAATGAAAACAGGTACATATATAGTTGGTAGAGCTGCAAACTAGCTCAACCATTCTGAAAAACAGTTTAGAACTATGCCCTAAAAGCCATTAAATGTACATATCATTTGACTTAGTGATACTACTACTAGCTCAATTCTTTAAAGAGATAGAAGAAAAATGCCATTATGTACAAAAAACAGCTAGTTTTTCCAAAGAATTGGAAACAATTGAAGGATGTCCATCAACTAGGAATGGCTGAAAAAGTAAGGTTATATAAATGTGATGAAATACTATTATGCTGTAAGAACTGATGAAGGGGATGGTCTCAGAAAAACCCAGAAAGATCTGTGTGAATTAATGCAAAGTAAAATGAAAGTAATAATTGTTTTTGCTCTTTGCTTCTCCAGCTCATAGCTCATTGCCTGGCACATAGCAAGCACTTAATAAATTCTTGCTACCCAATTAAATGAATCAACCACTTATGTTTTAGCATAATACCTGAGCACATATCTAGATAGGCTCTCATTACTATAACACACCTTTGCATGTCATCTACTTATGGAACTCATCATTCATTTCCTTCTTCTAGCCGGGTGGTCTATATGATATGTCCACCATAATAATTTCAGTTTCTTCCTCCAATAATCCTCACCTAAATGCTCTCCATCATGTATTCCCCCTCCAGTATACACATTTTCCTCATACAAATATACCCTCCTCATATGCAAAATTACTCTTTTACATTATCCTTTTTTAATCAAAGTTATTATTTTTAATAATTGAGGCATAAAATAAGATGTTTGTCACTAGTAGACATCCAATGTAGCATCCAGATGGAAGAGGGATTCAGTAGGGATAGCGGGGTCCTCCAGTTAATCCTGTCAATATCGTTCTAATCACTTCATGCCTCCAAAGTACTACAGAGACTCAGAAATGGGATCCAAAACTAGTCAGGAGTTTAACCTCATCACCCAGACAGGAAAAAATAAATGTATGAAAAATCATATTCAGAATATGATAGATAGTTGGATAAAAAGGACACAGAATTAGTCCATCAGTACATATATCTTGGACCCTATTCAAAGACACTAACTTAGAAGAAACTGGGCCCAGATTTAAATAGGAATAAGAGAAGAGGCTAGACTGGATTCAAGAAACTGAGCTGTTCTTTCAATAATCTCAAGCAGCAACCTGACATAAAAACCCATCTTTTTAACACCAATATTCTTCTAATTAGCCCACATGGCCACAATATTACCATCAAGGTAATGAATAAAGATATCGAAGACCAGAAAAGAAAGTGGGCTAGTTATATTGTAAACATGAAAACAGATGTGCCATAATGATACCATATTATCCATGTAATATCAAGAAACCTACTGCCCATAAAGTTGAATGGACCCCTGGTGGAGAATATATGGAAAACCATGGAGAAGAACCACACAGAATGAAAAGGATGTGATCTACATCATTCGAAGGAATGCTCAGACCAATATTATCATTCAAATACTCAACTATTTCGGTAAAAGAAAATGATCAAAACATAAAATGATAGGGACAAAACCAGGGAACACAAAACTGAAATATAAGATAAGGAAATGGTAAAAGACCCTAGCTGTCCAAGTGACCAGGCCTGGATGAAGTACATCCCAGGGTACAATAAGAACGTGAGGATGTGAGAGATCAGCTATATTCAGTGATTTGAAAACTGTGAAAACCAGGAGAGATGCCACAGCACTGGAAATAGTTTTTAAAAGGGAAAATAAAGTGAATTTCTTCACAGTATCAGCTATTGAGTTTAAATTTTTTCTTTTCTTTTTTTTTTATAGGCAATTGGGGTTAAGTGACTTGCCCAGGGTCACACAGCTAGTAAGTGTGAAGTGTTTGGTATGAGGCCGCATTTGAACTCAGGTCCTCCTGACTTCAGGGCCGGTGCTCTATCCACTGCGCCACCTAGCTGCCTCCTATTGAGTTTAAATTTCCATCCTAGCAAAATACTACACTATAGTATCAAAGGTATGATTTTGTAAGTACTTAGAAAAAGAAGTGATAATCACTTGAGCCAGCATGGGTCTAGAAAAAAAAAAGAAATTGTGCGGGACAGTAATTCTATAGTACCACAAAGGCACAAATATTTGTTTGCTACTTTGTATCTCAGCCATTTGTCTTGAACATAATTGATGGTTAACAAATGGTGACTGAATTTAAATCATGCCAGGCTAATCATATTTCCTTTTTTTGACCGGATTATTGAATTAATAGCATAGACAGTATATACATGAACTTCAGCAAATCATTTAACAAAGACTTATTTAATAAGAGCCTTGAAAACTAAATGGAGAGATATGGGCTAGAATAGGGTTTCCCAAACTTATTTGGCCTATTGTCCCCTTTAAAAAAAAAATTATACAGCCCCTCCCCCAGGTTTTTTCTTGAAATTTGCATCATTTCAAACTACTACCACTCCCTTGGATCGTTCTAGCGCCCCCTAGGGGGCAGTATCGCCCACTTTGGGAACCTATGGATGATAAGTGAATTCCACCTGACAGGATGACTAGAATCAGAGTGCTAATTAATGGAGCAATGTTAACCTGATAAGAGGGTGTCTACATCAGGGCCAGTGGCCTTAGTATCTGTCCTGCCCCACTGGCCCTGCTCAACCACTTTTTTGTGCCAGTGGCTTTTATGAAGGCAGAGAATGACATGCTTAGACAATTTGTAGGGGCACACAAAACTGAAAAAGATGGCTAATAGATGGAAGCAGCATGATGTAGTAGAAAGAAGGCTGGATTTGGATTTGAATCACAACTCTGCCTCCTGGCCTTAAACAAGTCACTTAACTTCACCAGACCTCAGCTTCTTCATCTGTAAAGTAAAAGGGTTGAACTAGACAACTTCAAGGGCACTTTCAGTTCTCAATCTATGCCTCTGCTACGGCCGACAAAGTCAAGATCCAAAACCCTTGGCAGAATAGTACTGAGCAAAATTTAATAAAATTAAATAGAAGCGATAGAATAGGGTAGGGCACTGGAGTCAAGAGACTCAGATTGAAATTCTGCCTCAGATGTGATGTGATTGTGATTACAAGCTAGTCATTTCTCCTCACTGAGGCTAAGTTCTCTCATTTATAAGAGAGAAGATGATAATACTTGCACACCCTAAGTATCAGGTACTATAATTACTTTCCTCAATCTCTGGTACAGTTACTAATTTCTAGTTATCATTAATCAACAATAAACAACATTATCTTCAATCTATTTTCTTTTAAGGACAAAACTACAAAGGTGAAATCCTAGAATAGTTCAAATACTACAAATGACTAATACTTACCATTTTCATCTCCAGATGTTTTCCTCTATCTTCTTGTGAAACATGGACCAGCTGCAGGATAAGGGGTCTCCTGGTGACAACTCCAGTACCTCTTGGGAGTAGGTCCCTCCCTACAAGGCTTTCTAATACTGAGCTTTTTCCACTGCTCTGAAAGTAAAACATGTATAGCTGTGAGATTCTTAAAAAATTCTTTACAATGCTATAAAGCTATTAACAATGCAGCACATAAAGAAATGTTCTTCTAAAGTAAAATAATTTGATTTGAACCTTGATTTTGAAATTACTATAAATATTATAAAGATATATTTTGTCTCTCTGTTCAATTATTCCTTTACTTGCTCTAAAAAGAAACTCCCCAATCAATAAACCATTAGCTAGCCTAGCCAAAAAAAAAAAAATCCTATTACCAAAATAAAAACTGGACAAGGTAAATTTACAAGTGAGAAAATAAGAATAATCAAAATATATAAGCAGTAGCAAAAATGAAAATTCACAGAAAATTGATGAGTATTACCAAAAAATATCATTCAAACAAAATAAGTGGAAATTTTAAATGACTTAATCTCTGAACAGTCAACACTGCCAAAGCAGTGTGGAGGGTAGGGTACAGAAAGTGGGAGACAGAAAATGTGGAAATGAAAATAAAATAGAATTTTTTTTTAAAAGCATATATTTAGATTAAGAATAGAAACGGGCATTCTGGCAAGGTGGTGGAGTAGGTTAGAAATTTCCAGGCTCTCCAGATTTCCTCCACAGTCAGTCAGAAAACTGCCATGAAATGAATGTAGAACAGCAAAAATAAAGGGATAAAGCAGTTGTCCTCCTAAAATAACTTGAGAGGCCTTCAGAAAAAGACAGGGCCTCCTGGACTGAGGTTTGGCCTTCATGAGGTATAAGCACCTACCTATAGGCAACTCTATTGAATCAAAAAACAGTAGGCCAGTCTGAGGGTAGCTCTGTTGGAAAGCAGACTAAGCCTCAAGAATTTTCACCTCACAAAACTTTTACAAACTCTTTGAAAACTAGAATTGGGCAAGAGGAATCAAATCGAATGATGTTATAAGACACTAAGAAATAATAAAAGTACGAAAAATAGAAGAGAATCTGAAACATCTCATTAGAAAAACAACTAATCTGGAGAACAGATCAAGGAGAGACAATATAAGAATTGTTGGACTACCTGAAAGTTATAATCAAAAAAGAATCTAGATATAATATTACAAGAAATTATTAAGGAAAATTGCCCTGGAGTTCTAAAACAAGAGGGTATGGTAGAAATAGAAAAAATCTACCATTCACCACCTGAAAGAGACCCCAGGGGGGAAAACTTACAGGAATGTTATAGCCAAGTTTAAAAACTCCCAGATTAAAGAGAAAATATTGCAAGCAACAAGAAAAAAACAATTTAAATACTGCAGAAATACAGTTAGGATTTCACAAGACCTAGCAGCTTCTAGCCTAAAAGACCAGGGGTCCTAGACATTATATTTTTAAGAGCAAAAGAGCCAGGGTTGCATCCTAGAATAACTTACCCAGCAAAGTTGTATATAATCCTGAATGGAAAAAAAAATGGACATCTGATGAACTGAAAGTCTATCAGATATTTCTAACAAAAAGACCAGAACTCAATGGAAAATTTTACATAAAAGATCTAAAAGAAATATAAGGAAAACATGAAACACTAATTTATATGGCACTCAATTAACATCAAACTGTTTATTTATTATATATGTGAAAATGTTATTAGTATTCTTTTTTTTTTTGATGAGGCAATTGGGGTTAAGTGACTTGCCCAGGGTCACACAGCTAGTAAGTGCCAAGAGTTTGACGCCATATTTGAACTCAGGTCTTCCTGACTCCAAAGTCAAAGTGCTATCCATTGCTGCCTAGCTGCCTCTGTTATTAGTATCTGGAAGAGTACAGAAGTTTTCTGAACGTTCAGAGGGTGGAGAAGGGACTTTTAGAGAGGTGTATGGAGTGGGATTTGGGGAAGAGGATGGGGGGAGTCTTGGAGGGGTGGATGAAGTGTGGGGGAGAAGATAAAGTCACAGAGACAGAGTAAAAAGAGAGATCGAGAAAGAAAACAGTGAGTAAAAATGACATGGGAAACTGACAAATAGTAATTGTAACTTTGAATGTGAATGGGATGTTTATAGCAGCTCTCTTTGTGGTGGCAAAGAACTAGACATTGCAGGGATTCCCATCAATTGGAGAATGGCTGAAAAAGTTGTAGTGTATGGTTCTGATAGAATACTACTGTGCTGTTAAGAAATGATAAGCTCGATGATCTTAGAAAGGCACAGAAATACTTGCTTGAAATGATGAAAAGCAAAGTAAGCAGAATCAAGAGAACACTTTATACAGTAAAAGCAATACTGATTTAAGAATTACTTTGAGCTACTGTTATTTTGACTATAATAAATACCTAAATTAACTATAAAGAACATGAGTAAAGACACTATCTGCATCCAGAGAAATGATAAATAGAAGCATGTACAGAATAATTTTACATTCATATATATGTGTGTATACACACACACACACACACACACACACACACACACACACACACACATATCTGTATCTAATAGTAGCTTATATAGAAAAGGAACAGTGAAAGGAATAATTAGATAATGCAAGGGGTCCAGGTGTCTTGGGAGCAGGCATCAGTGATCTATGGACGGGAAAATGTAGGGAACTTTACAGAGATAACTTTGTTGATACCAGACACTGAGGGAGAAAAGAGTTTTTTGTTTAGTTGCCAAAGGCATGGACCTTGGGGATCTAGTGCCAATAGAGTCCTTGGGCCATCCAGGGACAAAAATCCTTGGGTCAGGCACCCCTGTGTCTGTTCTGATAAGAGTATGTGCTCTGCAACAAGAGAAAATTTTCTCACAGGGCAGGGGCCTATGGGCCTACTGAAAAACTGGGAGGCTTCCAGAGACATGATCTTAAGGGCTGGGGCCAGAGCACCCCATAAGTAAAAACGTCAACAAAGAGGGGACAACATTATCTTTATATGAAAATGACTTGATGGTATACTTGGAAAAACCCACAGAATCAGGAAACAAACTAAAGTGATCAACTGCTTCAGCAAAGGAATAGAAATGAAAAAAAAATCAGGAGCAGCTAGGTGGCACAGTGGATAGAGCACCGGCTCTGAAACCAGGAGGACCTGTGTTCAAATCCGGCCTCAGACCAAACACTTGACACTTACTAGCTGTGTGACCCTGGGCAAGTCACTTAACCTCAAGTGCCTAAAAGCAGAAAAAAAAATTAAATTAAGATAATGTACAACTCTTGACATTTTGTTTAATGACACTTTTTGTGAAAGACTTTGCAATTAGAACAGAACATTGGGCTGGGAGCTGGGAAATAGATTCTGAATCATCCTGCTCTTCAGCAAATTAATTGCATGACTTTGGGCAAGTCACCTCTGTGCTTCACTCTCCCTATCTATAAAATGGGAGCAATACCTACCCCCATTTACCTACCTTACAGGGTTGTTGTGGGGATTAATTAGATATAATGTCTGTAGAACATTTGAGCTCCCTGAAGAATAGCTCAATATACATACAAAATAATCTATTAAAGTTGGTTTATTTGTGAAAAAAAAACAACAGACTTCCATGTTAAAGCTATCTATAGTCATATGAAAAAATGTTTTAAATCACTGTTGATCAGAGAAATGCAAATTAAAACAACTCTGAGGTACCACATCACACCTAACAGATTGGATAATATGACAGAAAAGGAAAACGATAAATATTTGTTGGAGAAGATGTGGGAAAATTTGGAACACTAATTCACTGTTGGTAGAGTTGTGAACTGATTCAACCATTCTGGAGAGCAATTTGGAACCATGCCCAAAGTGCTTATAAAACTGTGCATACCCTTTGATCCAGCAATACCACTACTAGGTCTGCATCCCAAAGAGATCATAAAGGAAAAATATCCATATGTATAAAAATATTTGTAGCAGCTCTGTTTGTGGTGGCAAAGAAAATTGAGGGGATGCCCAAAAACTGGGGAATGGTTGAACAAACTGTAGTATATGAATGTAATGGAGTACTATTGTTCTATAAAAAACGATGAGCAAGTGAATTTCAGAAAAACCTGGAAGACTTACATGAATTGATGCTGAGTGAAGTGAGCAGAACCAGAACACTGTACACAGTAACAGAAATATTGTGCAATGATCAACTACAATAGACTTAGCTCTTCTCGGCAATGCAATGATTCAAGACAATTCCAAGGAACTTGTGACGGAAAATGCCAACCACATCCAGAAAAAGAACTATGGAATCTGAATGCAAATTGAAGCATACTGTTTTCACTTTTTTGTGTTTTTTTCTTTCTCATGGTTTTTCCCTTTTGTTCTGAGTCTTCTTTTGCAACATGACTAATGTGGAAATATGTTTCACATGACTGTACATGTATAACCTATAACATGTATAACCTGCGTGCTGTCTCGGAGAAGGAGGGAGAAAAATTTGGAGCTCAAAATTTTACAAAGATGAATGTGAAAATTATCTTTACATGTACTTGGGGGAAAAAATCAGATACTGTTAAGTAAAAAAAAAAAAAGAAGAATAGACTTCCTTGAGGCAAGAATAAAACAGTGATTAGCACAAGAACTGAACTTCTAAACTTAACCCAGAGACAATGAGAGATTGACAGGAAAGCTGAATTTCCAAACTTAACTCTGAGACAAATGAAACACGACTTAAGCAGTCACAAAAAAAATCAGCAGTGACACAGAATGAAATCCATAACAAAAACAGAATTACAAAAATGGAAACCATATCCATTTTCTCAGTATCTAAGATATCATTAATAATTTGTATAAGACTAATAACCATTTCCCAGTAGAAAAGTGGTCAAAGGTTATGAACAACTCTCAAAAAAAACTGCAAGGTGGGGCAGCTAGGTGGCAAAATGGACAGACCACTGGCCATGAAGTCAGGAGGACCTGAGTTCAAATGCCACCTCAGACCAAACACTTGACATTTACTAGCTGTGTGATCCTGGGCAAGTCACTTAACTCCAACTGCCCAAAAAAACAAACAAGCAAACAAACAAAAACTGCAAAGTAATCACAACCACATGGAAAAAATGTTTCAAATCACGAATGGTAAGAGAAGTGC